TTGAAGTGCTCTGAAATGTTTGGAATACGATGAACATTGCAATCAGTGTAAATAACTTGTCACATCTCGTCATACATTAAAAATATCATCTTACCAGAAGTCAGTTTTCCCGATTTTGAAGCCGTTACATAGACATTTGAAGGTCTGAACAGATTCTCCTGGACCCTTACTATTAGAATCAAAATTGAAAATTCAAATATTTGGAATCAGTGAGTTATAAAAGAAATCAATGTTCTCACTTCATAACTTCGATGCCGAGATAAATGCGAAAAAAAGTATACTGTATTATTTCATGATTTTCCCGATGCAATCATTTCCATAAAATCCTGAGCGATATATTTTTTGAATAAAAAAAAAATTATTTAAAAGGGGTAGTTCACCCCTCAAATTTCAACCCCCAGAGGAACTATTAATCGTAATTTTCATAATCACTCACGCTATTTATTACTTCGACGGAATGAATAAATAACTCCACCACTGTAATGGGTGATATTCCCAAGAAATCATTTTTTATGTATCCCAGAAAATTTCAGTTCTGGCGAAAATCCAAAAACACGTATTCTGCATTTTTCCATGTTCTTTCAAACGCAATTGGTTTTATAAAATTCTGAGACAGTTTTTTGTTTGAAAAATGAAATTTTTATAGGGGTAGTTTACCCCCCAAATTTCAACCCCCGGATGAACTATCAATTATGATTTTCATAATTCCTCACCGGCTATATATTACCTTGATGAAACGGATAAAAAATTTCACCAGTGTGATGGGTGATATTTCCGAGCAATAATTTTTTTCGCCCCAGAAAACTTCAGTTCCGGGGAAAAACCAAAAACAGGTATTCTGCATTTTTCCATGCTCTTCCAAATGCAATTGGTTTTATCAAATTATGAGCCATATATAAATTTTTTTTGAAAAACAAAATTTTTACGGGGTAGTTTACCCTCCCAATTTCAACCCCCGGAAGAACTATCAATTGTCATTTTTATAACTTCTCACAAGCTATTCATTACCGTGATGAACATTTGTAAAAACACCCTCCTTATAGGTGGGATTGAAAGATCACCCCCGAAGGTGTTCACCTTCTAATCATGGTTTCCCCCCCTAAAGCCGCGTATTAGCCGACAACGCCGTTGTCAGTTGTCACTTTTGTTACCGACTGAGCAAAAAATCGAGAAACACTACAAATTTTTTTTTGGTTACTGAGAAAGGCGGCGAGATTACTAACTCAGTACGCAGTGCAAGTAAAACGCTATAATAATTAACGGGATTGAGAAAATTTTGAGTTCATTCCTGTTTTAACCTTACATTAAATTTATTACTTATTAAATCATCTCGGTAATAAGTGATATAAGGGCAAATATCACAATCCGTTTTGTAGTCCACACTTTTTTCCACAAACAATTTCGTACGTTTTTTGACGAGACTACGAGTTTTGGAGATACTGCCAGTTTCAGTCGAATAAAATAGAACGAACTCTTTCTTCCACCGAATACGTAAATCAAATTTAATGCAAGAATAATTCTCGACGATAAATATTATTCTCCTGTATCTTCGATTGATAGAAAACTAGAGCAAAAAATCTAGATAATTGATTGAAAATCAATAACTTGAATACGAGAAAAGTTCCAAAGCAACGTGTAAAAATTGTATAAGACGAATTATAGAAAATCATATTATCGTGTGTAACGAGATTTTCTCGTTAAGGGTTGAAATCCCCTTAAAAAGATATGTGAACTCTTAACTTAGTGAAGAGAGACAGTTAGTGACATCTAGAGGCGGCTGAAGAAAGCCGCGACTAGATGAACTGAACGACAAACCGATGAAAGACCTAAGGCATAGCGGTTATGGGTGAAACCTCGACCCCTGGAGGTCTGGAGGACGTTACTAGACTATCGCTATTTTAGAATTCGCCCAGCATGTGCTAGGGGAAAAGGGGCCGACATACAGGCTGTCCAACTGGGCGATTCCATAGGCTAAGTCAGGGTAGACTGGGGACCAACGGCCAGGTGAGAGGACTGGTGCCCCCGGGATCCCATCGGGTTGATTGGTGGGGATAGGGTAACGGAATAACCTATCGTCGCTGAGACGATAGATATCCAGACTAGGGGGAGAAGGCCCTAGTAAGATTCTGAGTTAGTCGAACGCGGACGCTCGAGCGGGGAAGTCGAAAAGATTTCTGCGAGATATACTGTGGTGTTGGCTGGAAAGATGGCCACGGAAATGGTGGGCGAATAGCTCAGCGCAGTCAGGTGCATAACTGATCGTAGCGAACGTAGGGGGATGCTCCTGCATCCCCCATCAACGGAAAAAAGAGTTATTTCGGAACTCTTAGTGACGACTTTGTTGTTTCCGGCGTTATCCGGCTCGGCGAAACAAATGACGAGCGCATGGGCCCGTGGGTCTGGAGTAGAGATCGTCCTCCTGTCGACCCGACCATGTGCCGACATTCGAGTACCCGGAGACGGTGACGTGCGATGACCGAAGCGGTAACTGGTGGCCGAGAGTGTGGGTGGTCGTGAATTGGGTAACAGTGTTCCACTTTGGTCGGATCAGCCTCTCGGCGTCCCAGGCTCTGAGGAGTCCCGGCTGATTCGCAATTAACTATGAAACACTCCCGAGTCGAAATACTGGGGAGGAGAAAGCCTACTGAGAGAGTGAAAAACCCTCCAGGACGAGTGTAAATTCAATTTGCATGGATGATCAGGCCGTGAGGCTTAATTTCCAGCCTGAAATAGTGGCTGGTGACGTTTGGCATAGGATACTCCTAGTGGCCCTCGCCCACTCTACCGTGTCACACTGATGCTAGCTGGGCAACCCTTTGCCCGGCCACAGAAGTCCTCTTAGTGGACGAGTTTGCCTCAGAGGCCGGTTTTCGTCGCATCTCTGCCATCCTTCCTTAGCTTTGTGCATATTTCGAACTTCATTTTCGTCTCTTCCCGTTCATCTAATGAGAGATCATCTGCAATGGGAAACCCCAGTGTTTGAAGCGTGATAGCGTCTTTAAAAATAGCGGATTTAAAGCGGGTGTGCTCCCTTTCACTTTGCCAATTCTGTGGATTAGGTCGACCCCGCATTGCGGTAAACAAATATTAGCCTTAGATAGAATGCCCATGATGTGAGAGTAAAGGTGCTTGTATACTTCATCCGTGTCTGGCACTTTAAAAACCATGAAATTATTTGTTTGCGTTTGTTTGTAGTTTTGTCACTTGTTTTTTCAGGGATTCAACTTCTTCACTCATTGCATTATACTGTAATCCTAGTTTGGTCACCATAGGAGGGAAACGCCGCAGAAGGTCGATTTTTTTTTCTTACCATTGACTGGCTGAGCAGAAAAAACCTAAAAAATTGGAATGCGTCAATTCAAGTGTCTAGAAAATTATAATATTTTTTAAAATTATTTATATCCACAATTCCTGCAGAAAAAAAATTATTTCTAACAGACAGGCAATTTTTTCCCATGTTAAACGAAATTGCCCGTTGTGCGACCTTGCCGAAGTCTCGCTAAACACGCCCGGGCAGTATAGAGTGAATTCGGCAACGCTCGGGCCTAAATAACACGGCGGCGATTCCCTGCGGGGGTGATCAAAGTCGCAAGTTCTCATATGGTGACCAAACTAGGGTTAAGTCGCTTTCTTTATGAAAACTTTTGATATCTTCCATTGAGGACTTTTAGTCGTCGCTGTCGGAGACTCAGTTGACGCCATATCATGCTTATCCCTTTTTAATCCTTGAGTGGTTGCAGCTCTCTACCGAACGTTACTGGTCGCATGGTGGGCAATTGGCAGTCCCGTGTATTTTGCGATTTTGTGAGTACAAAACGTTGGAAAACATCATTTATTTGTAGTCTACGGCTAATTTCGAACCCTCAATCAACAAGAAATATGGATATTGAAGAAGAATAGCCGACGACTAATCCTAGAATTTGATTTTATTACGTACAAATTTTTGATATTTAGGAGTTAAACACAGAAATTTCGGTGAGTCAAGTTTTTAAAAAATTTTATAATTGATTGGTGCGAGTATCGACCAAAAAAATTGTCAATGCGTTCGATTTAGTTGAAAACAGGAATACAACTTTTTTTTAAATTTTTCACAGAGGGGATTTTCGTGTGAGAAACGAAAATCTAAAAAACACTGCGATTCCCCTATTGTGCGACCACTTAAGGGTTCAAATTTCGAGCCTTTTCTCAATTCTATTGAGCTGCTGTATATCAGCCATCGCACTGCACTTTTCACTGGCCACTTGGTATAAAATAATTACCAACACTGTGTTGCAATTGTTGAATTTTTACTTCGGGGGAGTGTTTGTGGGTAGGGCCTTCATAACTGTATTAGTTTATCGTATTTACGATACGATAAACCGATACGATGACAGACCGATATGAATTCGACTTCAAAATGTATACTCTCCCATTTTTCATCCCAAAAATTGAAGATTACCGACGCCGGAAGCTGAGTGGGCTAGACGCAAGTCTAGTGTGCGAAAGGTTGTGAGTTCGATTTTTTGTGGAACCGAATTTTTCAACGGAAGGCTCCGGTGAGCGGGACGTTGCTAATAGAGTAACCGCCTGTACCGGCATGGGTTCCGTGTGGGTTCCCATGCCACGCCTATGTTCTATAGGAGTGCGAATGCAGTACAGTGTAGAATCCACAGCCGCATGCATAGGGTTGGATAGAGTACCGAAATGAGACTCGAAAGGAGGACTCAAAAAGGGCGTAAAAAAAGTAAAAATTGTTAAACATAGTTAAAACTATTTCACAAATTTATACAATGGAGACTTTATTTTAGTTCAATTTTTTATTACAAAAATTCAAATGTCTCATTTTTAGTGGTCGAAGATAATTTTAACCCATAGAATAGAGTGGAAAATTGTATTTTTAAATGTTACTCTTCGAAAAAATGGAAGAGATTGCTTTTCGAAGTGGAACTTCTAGTCAATTTCAATAAAAGATCAAAAGAATTGATTAATTTTAGTGAATGAATCTTTATTTTTTTCCTCAGGAAGAATTAATAAGAATTATGGGGAACTCAAATGATGCACAAATGTTCTATCGTGCGTTGCATGAAAAGTTCACACCAGCAGACACTGGAATACCTATCACAATGACTAGCGTAGCAACAAAAATGAAAAACCAGGGATTATATGCATCGTGGAAGAAAGAAGAGAAATGACATGCACCCATCAATGAATTTTGGATTGTTGAATGTAGAAACAAGAAAAGAACGACATGATTCTGTATTGTGCATATTAATGATTGAATGTAATGATTGAATTGAATCAGAATGATTTATGTATGAATCCTAAGGGATAATCAATAATAAATCCTTTACCTTTATTTCTGAACTGTGACCAGATTTTCATCTCAGTTGTAATGATTTTTCATTGACCTCAACAAATACGCAATAAAACCCTAACCCGCAATTCTCGAATATCCAAATACGGCCGAATCATTATCTTCGTCCTCGTAACCCGACAAATCTGATACGTCAAAAATCATAACGACAACATTCGACTCCGGGAACAATCAGCAGTTCATTCAAGCTTTGCTTTTAATATTTAGAGCGCCAGGCGATTTTTATGAATGCGGAATCGACGAACCGCAAACGGAACCGTATTTTCTTAAAACTAAATACTGATTGTCTCCAAAAAACCAATAACGACAAGAAATGCAATGAGAACTATACGCAGAAATGTGGATTACGAGGGTACGGGATTTACTCGGTTGTTCAGTGTGCGAGTCGTGGAGAGAGAGGTGGATTCGTGGACGAAAAAATCAATTAACAAAGCCAATCATCCATTGAGAAACCAACAAACCAATGTCTTAAATTCTGAACGGGATATATATAAGTAGATTTTCAATAACGAACCATAATTGTACTGATGTGTTCCGCTATTGAAAAGATTAATACAAAGTTGTAAATTCTTGCAAATTCAAAATTACATCACGGTGACTCGACATAATTGAAAATATTTTACAATAATTTATTAAAACCCAAAAGACTCGAAAATATGCGAATGATGATATTGAGTGTGAAAAACAAGTGGGCCCAACCCAAAACTGATAAGAAGAAGCAAACATGTTGCCCACGAGGTGAACACGAATCCGAGAGAGAGAGAGGATGCGTGAAAGTAGCGTACGTGTGAAAAAAGACGAATTAGGTAGCTACGCGAAATCGAAAGAGAGCTAGGGAAAATATACGAATTTTTTCATTTTCGAACGATAATTGTTCAGATTCTAGATATCAGAGAGCATTCATAATCTTTTCCCGATAATGACTTATTTGTAATATAGTAAATCATGAACATTATCCATCGCAACTAAAGTACCAAAAGGGGGTAGAGAGCTTGAATCAGCCACGTGGCAGATTTACCGGAAGGGAGCATTTCGTAACGGGAAATGGAGATTTTCTCAATCGGAACAGGTAGCTTCTGGTATCAAATGAGCAATTAACGTGTAGAGATCCAGTTTATTTACCGATAGAGAGCTAGTTAAATATTATTATTCTGGATTCCAACCATTAAAATTTAAAGAAAGCAGAAAAATGATTCCCCATCCCCAACCGGCATTCCACAAAGCTCGAATGATGAAATCAGGGTAAAGCGAGTGAAAGGTAGCCAAAACGTATTTCAGATTGCACAACCCCTCTCTCTCTCTCTCTCTCTCTCTCTCTCTCTCTCTCTCTCTCTCTCTCTCTCTCTCTCTCTATCTCACTCTCTCTCACTGTCTCTCACTCTCTCTCACTCTCTCTCTCACTCTCTCTCTC